AAGTTTCCCAATTTCCAAATTTCCCAATTTCCAAGTTTCCCCATTTCCAAGTTTCCCAATTTCCAATTTTCCAATTTCTAAATTTCCCAATTTCCAAGTTTCCCCATTTCCAAGTTTCCCAATTTCTAAATTTCCCAACTGCCAAATTTTCCAATTCTCCAATTATCAATTCCCAAATTTCCCAATTGTCCAATTATCAATTCCCAAATTTCCCAATTCTCCAATTATTATCAATTCCCAAATTTACAAATATTCAATCCCCAAATTCCCCTACATTCAAGTTCCCAAATCCCCCTATTCCCTTATTCCCCAATTCTCCAATTCCCCAACTCCCTAATTCCCCTATTCTCCACTTCCCCAATACCCAGATTCCCAAAATCTTCTCCAACATGTTTCAACCATACAACAACCGCATAACGATGAAATAAATATATGCGTACCTGTCTGGGTCACATCTGCATATTTTACAAAAGTATACGCATAAACCTTCGCAGTTTCGCGATGAGCAGCTTGCGTTATACAAATTTGTAAGAGAGTAAATCAAGTGTTACATATTTTATGTAGGACTACCCTAGTAGAGTCCTAGATAATTCAGCAAAACGAAATTAGCATAACACCTGCTTACAGGTGATGTATAGATATACATCATATAGTGCTATGAATATAATACAATAGTCAGTGACCATTTAGAGTCACGAAACGATTTGATATGTATCATATATGTAGATACGCTAAGGAGGAGTTAAGAAGTTAGCACGATGTATTAAAATAGAATAATACTGCTAACAATGTGCTTGGAGTTGGTCCCTGAATATCGCATCTTATTTTGGTTTAGCGTTAAATTTATTTTTTTTATAATTGAAAATCGTTTATAATAAGTTTTTCAAGTAGCAAATTTTCAACTAATTCTTTGAATTTACTAATTTTCAAACATCTAAGTCTTTCAGTTTACAAATTTTCAAATATCCAAATTTTAAATAAACAAAAATTTTAAAATGAACTTAAAATAAATAAAATTTTAAAATAAACCAAAATTAAATTTTTAAATAAACTTACTAAATAAACATACGTTGAAGTAGATACACATACTGGGTACAGATATGTGGATCTAGGCACACATACGCGGAAGTAGATACACACACACAAGACTAGGTGCACACATATGGAACTAGATATACGTACGTGGAGATAATTAAACATACGTTAAGCAAGGAATACATATGCTGAACTAGGTACATACATGAAACTAAGTACATATACGTAGAAATAGGTACACGTACGCGGAAGTAACCACACATTCATAGAACAAGTTACACATACATAGAAAAAAGTACACGTACATAGAACTAATGTCCTGGACGGCAATTACTGTCCATAATGGATATAAGCGTCCATTTGACTTATTAAATGTTAAAGTGAATTATTAAACGTTGAAATGGACAGTAATTGCCGTCCGCATGAATTATTGAATGTTCAACTCGAATTCCTTCGAAAAAAAGAAGTAGGGTTACTCATCACTGTTTCAGAATTTCAGCCGACTGTGGCTATCGACGCAATCGAAATGTATGCACGGAACAAGGAATGAACGGAAGCACAGGGGTACAGAGAGGTCTTGACAACGGCATAATTCGCGTGCTTCACTCACGGAACACGGACATACATCCACGATAATTCGAGAAACATAACTCAAGTCCCGGCGGAGCGGTACATCACGGCCATCAGTTTCTTGGCAGATATCGCCGCGGCTCACAGTGTCGGCTTTCCTTTGCTACTTTATCTGCCTCTTTTTTTTTACCCTTCTCGTTCACTCTACCCTTCACCTTCCGCAACTTCTACCCCCCTCCTTTCATTCTACTTTGTAGACTAATCGACTGTGACAACTTTCCATCGACGCTTACTATCTTTCGTGTTTCGACCCTGTAAACCGATACTCGAACACGTTTCAAGTCTACTTTTAGTTTCCGATGACGGCCATCTTTCGCCAAGGCGATTTCAAAATCAACTTTTATTGTATAATGATGGTGATCGTATTATACAGGGTGGCTCACCACATTTTACCATCTAGATTTGCGTCATTATTATTACTGATAGCAAACAATGTTTTAGATGAAGTTAAATGGTTTTGAGGGATGTGCTGATGGTATATTTTGTTTGTAGGTGGACGTGTAAAGAACGTATGAAGGTCATCAATGTGTTTTTAAATGGAATCATATATTTCTTATTGCATCTGTTGATACTCCTTCATATTCTTTACAAAAAAGTATTAATCTATTTATGTGAAAAAATCATTAGTTTAGGCAAAATGTGGCGAGCCACCCTGTATAATCATAAAACTAATTTGCAAATAATTTCACGCAAAAATTTATTTAACAATTTCTCTTAATACATTTTGAAAATTGCTTTTGTATAAAAACACAGTTGGAACTGAAGTTAAAAAAAATATAATCATATAAAAATTACTGAATATTTTTACAAAACTTAGGATACATAAGTTGAGACAAATCATGAATTATAAAAATAATTAAAAAAAATTAAACAAGTGTTATTTAAATGATTGGTTGTATTGAAGTACCACCATAATTCATACGACTAAATGATTTGAAACGAAATTGCGTTAAGTGAACGTATCGCATCATTGTCAAAACGTAACCCCATTGTGAACAAGATATAAAATACGATGTAACATCTTCATAGATGTAACACGATCCGTCGAGTTTAAATATCTGCATTAGGCTTCGTGTTCAGAATGGAGGAACAATTATTCATATCGCTGAATGACACGCATACAAAGAAACCTGACAGAACAATAAAACCAGTATACTCCATGAATCATGCTCAAACATTATGATATTTTATGTACATTACGGTCGTGCGATACAGTGTTCGAACTTTCAATACCTCTCGAACGTGTTTCACGTAATGGTTCCAGGTGACTTTTATCGCGAAAACAAGTTTCGATTTCAATATTAGTACAGAGTTTGATAATGATGTTGTAACACACGCACGAAACAAACGATGAAACATGAATACTAAATAATGTAGTTATGACACAACGAATTACACCGTTTGTCATTGGTTATTAAATGAAATCAACTATTTTTAAGTAGTGTGGACAGGGTTGACGTATAATTTTTACTGCGAGAGGAGAAAATTTAGTGGAACAACTTTTTAGTTGTATCATTGAAAAGGGAAATTGGAGAGAAGATGTTGAAGAGCGAATTGAGGATTTGGAAATTTGGAGATCTGGGGGTTTGGGAATGTTGAAAATGAGAATTTAGGAAATTGAAAGCTTGAGAATTTGAAAATTTCGACACTTGAGAATTTGAGTATTTGTAAATTTGAGAACTTGGGAATTTGGGAATTTTGGGAATTTGGGAATTTGGGAATTTGGGAATTTAGGAATTTTTAGAATTTTTAGGATTTGGGAATTTTGAGAATTTGGATTTTTGAGAATTTAGAATTTTGAGAATTTGGAAATTTTGAGAATTTGGGAATTTTGAGAATTTGGGAATTTTGAGAATTTGGGAATTTTGAGAATTTGGGAATTTTGAGAATTTGGGAATTTTGAGAATTTGGGAATTTTGAGAATTTGGGAATTTGGGAATTTTGAGCATTTGAAAATTTCACAATTTGTAATTTAAAATTTCAAAATTTAAAAGTCTGAAAACTTAGACTTTTGGAAATTCACAAAAATACTTTTAATTTCTAAAACTTGAAAATGCAGAAAATCAAACATTTTGATATCCCAAAATTTAAATAATTGAATGCTTGGAGACCACGTATCGCCTATCCTAAGTCTCCCTTCAACATCAAAAAACAAAACTTTATTTGAAAACTTGGAGAACAGTGTATACTCCCTAAAATTTCAATGATTAAGCGTTAAGATAATTAAATTCACAATGATCAAATAAAGCGTTGAAAGCTGGTCTCTCCCTCCCCTCCTTAGGAAGCGAAACACGAAATCGTCGTGTCCCTTGACACGACATTTGCATTTTACACCGTACAAAATAAGACTAGCAAGTATCCATGACGAATCGTAAATTACGTCTTTGAAAGTGAACCAGTTCGATGCTCCATTTTAATTATAATTTGCACGCAACGCATGTAGAATGTGTTAGCTAGCAATTCGTATGTTGCGTTGGTTGTATAGATAAAACGAAAGAATAAAACACACGGTGACGACGATGCGCTCATCGCACAGGCGCAGAGAATTATTTTTCACTTGACGACTGACGAGGGTTAAGTGTCTACTTTCGTGGCGATTAGCATACATGAGCACGCCACCTTCGGTGTACATTTAGGATAGCTGTAGCATAATGTTACATGTGTCCTCTCGTACCGAGACAAGCATCAGAAAATTGTCGACAGGTGGCATGAGCTTTCCAAGTCTTAACATTACCGTTGCGTGATCTCGACTTACGATGACTTATTGCCCGTAAAGAATGAAACGGTGCGATTAATTGAAAAACTACGTATACGCTTTATATCAATAGCGCCGGTGTCAACAACTTATTTCAATGTCAATCTATACGAGCAGTCTGCCATATTTATCAGATTTATTAAATGTTTTTATCCTTGTCGTTATCGTAACTTAATTAGAATATTCTAAAAGCGACGTTTAAGATCTGTACGTTTTATATTGAAACATTAAAAAAATAACATCGTATACATATAAAAATAACATGGAAACATATTGGAAATATATAAAAATAAAAATAAAATATAAAAAATATGTAAATACTAAAATAAAAAAAATATATATATTTATTTATTTATTTAAAATATATCATTTAAATTATATGATTTAAAATATAGATATTATACGAAGTAACATGTTTCATTATTTAAATGTTAATTTTTTAATATAAATTTTTCGATAATTGATTTTAATAATCGGTTGTATACGATTCATATTTGGATATTTGTAAATGTGTATAACGTTATTTTAATGACGTTCATTTATAGTGCATGACGAGAATAAAACGGTATTTACAACTTACCTTATTGATCCGTTGTCCTTATGCTTGCCGATGAAGAAGGTTGATACGCCATCAGCCATCTGATTTGCCCACGGTGGTTTGACCCAGATCAAGTGTTTCAAATGTCCCGCGTATGCAGCCGGCAATATCCAGTTCTCGATGCTTATTTCACTGTTACAAAAAATACGTTTATTATCTCAACAAAGTACTTTAAAAACTTACATTTAAGCATTTAACAATTACAACATTATTAATACGATAAATAATCTTAAAATATACTTAAAGCAAAAAATATTACATTTTGATGAAACAATAAAATTAAATTTACATATCATACTTAATTACATGAAATTTTCATTATATAATACAATATAATTTTCATTATATAATGCAATATAGTTTTCAATATATAATACAATATAATTTTTATTCAAATTTCTTAGTAGTACACGCTTTTTATATTATAAGCTATTAGATATAGACAGACTTAGCGACATAAAGATGGCGGGTGTAAGAATCTAGAAATTTCTGGAATACTAGAAAATAATAAATCGAACAAAACTTTTTGTTAGAGAAATTTAGAAAAGAAGATAATACTATTTCAAAAAATAATCAGTATATATCAGTTTATATACTTGTAAATCGTTGTAGTATTTTAAATTATACTGCAACAGTTAATTATTGGTTATTTCTACTTAATACAGACTATGATATTTAATGTCATTAATATGAAGAAGAAATATGATGTATCTTTGAACGTTCTTAATAAGTAAAAATATGTACATATACATGACATATAAATTTAGCACAATAATAAAAATCTATTACTTTAAATAATTAATGTTGATTACCTGAATAATTGATCTTTATCCCACACGGTATCCGCCAACATCGTTTTCGGAATAAGCATATCGGGATGAGAATCCAAATGCACGAACACGTTTCCTTCAAACGGAAGATGCTTCGATCCCAAACAACGATAAATAAACGGCAAAACCTAAGAAGATATTGAAAAATTCACGTCTTTCGAAAATATTTGAATTTAAAAACTTTGACAGTTTCAACTTCAATTTGCAACGCACGTTGTCACGTGACCAATACGTCATTGGTAGTTGGAGCGCCGAAAGCGCCCCTAGCGTGCTAACGAAGAAATCTCGACGGAGCAAGTTACAATGTAAACAAACTTGAAAGACGTTAATCATTCAAAAACTTACTTCGTCGTGGGATTCTACGACGTAAATTGGGATCCGTTTGAAGTACTTCCTCGAGAACGACATATTTCTAATCACACACCGAACGAATGTTCACGAATGAACGTAATTTGCAAAGAAAAAGATCGATAAATTTACTAATTAACACCATACAACACTCGCGAACGCGATTAAGAGACTCCTTCACACGAAAGCACGTGGTGACCGACTGAAGTATACTAGGCGGGCTGCTCAAACGATTATTTTGCGAATAAAGGACGGACACAACAAGCGCGTACCCCAAATTCTCACGAGACGAGTTTCGTAAGGTGGTTTTTTTCGTTTCGTTCCCCTCAAAGAAACTCCTTAGAAACCTGATCTACCTAACTCACAACCGGCATATGATATCCAAATAAATAAAACCATTTAACATTTCTGTTTAATACAAACTAGAAGTATTTAATTTGTATTTAACATTTAACTCGACCTTAATTACTTTAACGTCTATTGAGCTTTATTTATGATTCAATACAAAGACAGCAACAAAATTAAGTATCTACTACATGCAAATGTAAAACTTAACTATTTCAAATGAGATGTTTAATTTCCCACTATTTGCAACTAAAAAATGAATCAAATACAAAGATATTCAGAAACACATTCTATATCTCAGAATTTTAAAGATTGTTTAATAAAAAAATTCCAATATAACAGGTTTCATACGAATTTTATTACAAAAATGAATTATACATATTCAAGATATTAAAAAAGAGAACTGTACTCATTTATAGTATTAAAAAGTTGTAGCAGTATTTATGTTATTACAAATGTACATTACTAACCTTTTGTTACGACGTTATCAATTCAAAATTTAATTACTCGGAAATCGAACATGTGCTTAACTGTACAAAATTAAGTTAGACTGTCTCTTAGGAACCGACCGACATTATTACTTTTAACTTATAACTTACAGTTGCTTAATAGCATTAATATTAATTACAATTCCTTGTGCAATTATAGAGCATTTCCGAAGTATACAGCTCTAAATGTAATTGATCAGTCTGAGCTCTCAGAGATGATAAAAACTGATCAATTTCTATTTCACGTTCGTGAATATTTTTATCCAATGAGTAGCGAAGACTAGTTTCATTTTGTACATGAGTAGAATTTGAAAAGTAGCTAGGAACATTTGTACAGTTGTCTGTTTGAAAAGTAGAAGGAACAGTATGCATATAGTTGTAGAAAGGAATATAATATTGTGTATTTAAAGATTGATTCTGTTCAGATTTATGTACGTCATAAGCTCTAGAAACATTCATTGTATCTGATAAATTTTTATCATCTGAATGCTTCTGTGATACATTTTTTGTTAAAGATGTATTAACAGATTTATCACTATTCAATGTATCAAATCTGCAGGATTCAGGAGATTTATATAAATGTTTATTACTTTCCATAGATCTTAATGGCAGTTGTTCTATTTTTACATTGGATGGGTTTTCATGTAAATCAATGTCATTGCATAATCTATCAACATCACGCAAAGTATTGTTTGTTGTAATTTTAGATGAAGTCTTTTCTGTCTTTTTAGCAGCATTCACTTGTGTTCTATTCGTTTTCCATCTGTGAAATTTATTTTTTGAATACACTTTTTTACTCATCTTATACTCCTTAAGATCGTCGGTCTTATTTGAGGAAGTAGAAACGTTATTTTGTAACCTGTAGCATTCTAATTCTTGTGTATTAACATAATCATTTTGTGCAGACTTTGCTAATACTAAATTATTAGAATTATATTCGTCACTTATTTTATTCTGCTCATTTTCATTTATAGTTATGCTTTTCTGTTTAATATCTTTTTCAACGTCTATTTGATTTTGTAAGTCAAATTGATTTTGCATATCTTTTGAATTAGTATCTGCAGCCTGACTTGATTTATCGCTTAAGAATTCATTTTGTACTGTTGATAATAATTCATCAAATAGTACATATCCTCTTCTTAACTTTCTTGTCAAATTATGTTTTTTAATTTCACTAATAAACGCCACATAATTCACTATTTGCAGTAGTTTCTCTCTAGGATACGGATCTGATTTCAAATATCCTAATGAATCACGATAATTATTTAGATTTGGTTTCAATATCTTCAGATTTGGCATGTATGAATCATGCTCAATCGGATACGGGAAATGTGCATTAAATTTTTGTCCAGATACTCGGTGAGAACTTTTAAAATCCTCCATTTCTTTATACATGTCAACTAAATTTCCACGTAATGTGAATCCAAAATATGAATAAGTGTCATCTATTTCATCATCGTTTCGTATTTCCGGATAGATGCACAAAAGAGCGTGCTTCTGTATTTTGTAGAATATTTGAAGCATTTCAACATGTTCATGATAAACTAATTTTTGAACTGACTCTTTCATAAGTTTCGATGTGGTATTTAATACTTCAATTTCAAATTCTAATTTTTGTTTCCATGCATGTGCTTCTTCCAATGACTTTTCTTCTTCAAAAAGTGACTCATTTTCAGATTTATTAAAATTTTTCATTTGTTCTAATATATAACCATTTAATTCTTTTAAACAATAAGTATCTACAAAATCTGGAATCTCATCTGGAACCATTACTATATTACTAGTTACATTATCATTCTCTACACAATGATCCTTCGGTAATGAAGAACTTTCTTGTAATATTTTATAGTAACGGTTATATTCTAAATGTTCGATAATATTATCAATATCGGAGCTGGATAAATTGTCTTCTTGGATATCAGTCAAATCAACTTCAAATAATGTATTTTCATTAGCTTTTTCCCATGCAGATAAATTGCTTGATAGAAAATTTAATTTAAAATTGTGTACAACTTTTGATTTAGATGAATTGTATGAACTTGTAAGAACAGTATCCTCTTTATTGCTCTTAATTTCCTGAGATTCATCAATTTTATTCGTGTTTTGTTCAAATAAAGAACTGACTTTTATTTTATGAGGCATGTTAGGTAATATTTTTGAATTAAGAGCATTTTTCTGGTAGTTATCAATATATTTTGATGTAACATTTTTCACTTTATCTCGGTTATAACATTGCGTATTGTCTATACTTTTTTCATTTATATCAAGTGTACTTTCACTATCTTCTGAATGTATATTATTTCGTAATTTCGTATTAACAGGGTCTGAAGATAATTCATTTGTAACATTAACGTCAATCTTATTTTCGAGTTGATTTTCTTTAACAAAATCCGATTTTGCACAAAATTTTTCGAAGAATGTACTGGACGTACTCCAAACGTCATTTGGGTAGCACGGAGGGAGCTTTAAAACATAAAAATTTGGACCACCAACAGAATTTAACAATTCTTTAAATGTTTCAATTTCATTTTCTGCCACTATTGTGATAGAAATACCGTAAGATCCATAACGTCCAGCTCTTCCTATTCTATGTAAATATGTCGGCGCATCATTGGGCAAATCAAGATTTACCACTAAGTTAACATTATCCACATCTATACCTCTTGCAGTTAAGTCAGTTGTTATCATTATTCTGCATTTAAAACTTTTTAATTTATTAATCGCATCAAGTCTTTTTGTCATATCTTGATTTCCAGCTATATAAGTTGCACTAAAACCCATAGAAATAATTTTGTTACATACCGATTGAGCTCTGTAATCAAATAATTTTCATTTTAAAAGTGAATATTAAGCACAATTCCTTAAACCTACAAAAATGTTATTATGTTTACCTTGACTGATAATTTGAAAAAGCTAAGCACTGCTTAAATGGAACAGAGTTCAATATTTTTGTCAGTTCATCTACTTTTATTTGGACCTAAAATAAAAAATACATGCATAAAAATATAAAAAGATATAGTATGATAACTACAAATATATATTTGAAGTAACACCGAACCTGTTTCATAGCATTTGGATGAAAAGGAACAATCGCTACAAATTGTTTTAGTCCAACAAGAATTGGTTCATCATTATCTGAAGATGTGACAACTGGAGAACACATGTATGTTTGTAAAAATGTTTCCAAATCTCCTAGATAAGTTGCGCTTGATGCTATGACTTGCTTATTTATTGGTAATTTTGAGAAAATAAAACTGAAAATGGTAACGTAACTTTTCTTATCTATGTAATGAATTTAGCCTAATATAATTTTATTAGTGTACTAACTTGATATCTTTCTGAAAACTAGTTTCCATTAATTTGTCTGCTTCATCAAGAACAAATAACCTAATATTTTCGACATTTAAGATTCCTTTATCAATTAAATGTCGAATCCTGCCTGGCGCGCCAACAGCTACATGACAACCATTCAATTTCTTCTTATCTTCATTTATAGCTATACCTCCTATAAACACTTCAACTTTCAAACCTTAAGCAATAAAATATATTAATTTTTTTTTAGCATATTCCACTAATTTTTAATAAATAATTCATTACCATCTGATAAAATTACCTTTCATTTCACAACCTACAGATGAAATCACTTGTGAAATTTGTATGGCAATTTCTCTAGTAGGCGCTAATATTAATACTTGTATAGATAGTACTTGTACATCAAGCATTTCAAGTGCTATTACAGAAAATACTAACGTTTTACCTGTTCCTGACTTAGCACGCATTATTAAATCTGCAATCAATTTTAGTTTAAATTACTGGAGCTAAAACAAATATATACTAAAGTTGAAACTATATATACCAAAACCGCATCGTCCTAATGGAATAGCTTTTAACTGAATCGGTGATGGTTTTTGGAAACCACAAACTGATAATCCGTCGAGGATTTTCTGCGAAAAGCCCATTTGAAAAAATGTAACATCTTCTTGTATTTTAATATCCTTTGTACGTGGCTTTTTACATATGTCATGTGCAATAATATGGGACATCCTTGTCAGAAAATTAATGCTATATATTTAATGAAATATAAAAAATAAGTTCAATATGTTGACAATAATTAATAAAATAATATAACACATACTTAAAGTGATCAATGATCAATAAAGTGTATAATACTGAATATTAAAACTGTTAATAAAAGTACATGTAAATACTACTTACAAAGTTACTACTAAACCGGCATATACTTTGAATTATATAAAACAAGGTTATGATTTATGTCATTTTCATATAAAGCATATTTCATATAAAATACTTTGATACTTCTTTTTTACGTTTCTGTATTTGTTATTTATAATCCAATCAATTTTATCAAATTGGACAATTTAAATTACAGTAATGCAGTTGTGAATTTACTATACTGTGCATACTCGTGTGAAAATCTAGTTTCCTTAGGGAAAGTGGTTGCCAATAGCAAGGGATTCCCACCATTTACTATAGCACCAGAACATTAGTACGTATTATGCCAAATTCACAAAAATTGACAAGTAACAAAATATTTTGAAATGAATGCTTACTTCTAAAAGCAAGCTGATTTTAACAAAAACCTAATAATAGTTCGCTGTTTAATCTCGCGGGAATATGAATCTGTGGTGTGGATGCTGGGATGACACCACAGTGGCTCGAAAATGAGCGCCACCTACTCTATCTTGGTATAAAATTATGAAACGCTTCCCAGAAGTTAAGTTTAAGGGTAACAGTAGATTGCTTTGATACCGACTATAACGCGATATGAATCGACTACAATATAATTTGAATCGACAAACAGATCATACCACCGATGAAATACTGTTAAAAACTGGTAACCATAGGAAGACCATGTCTTACAAATAATATGGTATTTTCTAACATTCAGTGGAAAAAGAAGATAAATTAGTAAACTGCATTAGTAAAACAGATAGATCTGTCAATATTGATGCTTCCTATTACCTAACAATCTTCACCCTAAGGTCAAGGAACTTCAAAATCTAAATACTCTCGAAAATAAAGGCATGATTAGTCTTGTTATATGTATAGTAAATATTACTATTTTATTAGTTATACCGACCATCGCTAGATGACAACAGCGGTACTGTTTCCAGACTGCGCGTGTATAAATTTAAATTTTTTATAATACATATAAAAATGAGACTTCCAAAATACTTTCTACTTTTTAAATTAATCACCTTACAATAACTCATTTTCTTTTATTTCCTTATTATGTATTAAATTACCACGGTAACGACATGAATACAAAATTCATCTTGTACAAAATCATAAAAAACTGAAATACATCGCATCATGCTGACAGTAAATGATTTTTAAAGATACAAGTTGTTGTATTACGTAAACATAGAAATTTTAATTTAAATTCCTGCAACCACGAGTATTATACTGATATTTCCAGTTCTGGTTGATATAGCAGAGTGTGACGCGCAAATGATAAGGTGCTTTTAAAGACCTGTCAGTATAAAAAAAATCATAAAAATTTGTCTAACTTGTACTTCGTCATGGTCACTAATTCTGCAGAGAAGTATGAAAGTTTTTTACGAATAAGATGTAGCTTTTTTTTTCAATTGACTTTTTGTTATTTATTAATAACATTGACAGTGAAATAATTATTAGAGTTAAACAAATATTATGTAAACAATATATTAAACAATATATAAATGAAGTACAAAAATTGAAGGGTATCCTAAATTTAGGAGCGTCAAACGGAGGAAGTCTTGAAGACCTGGAAATTTTTCTAAATTTTTAACTTTCTGAATTTCCAAATTTTCAATCTTCTAAATTGACAAATTTCTAAATTCTCACATTTCCAAAGTTTGAAATAATTAAATTCCTAAATATCCGAATTCGTAAATACCCAAACTCCCACATTCCCAAATTCCTAAATTATTCAATTTTCATACAGCAATATTTCAAATTTGCAAATTATTAAATTTGTATTTCTTCAATTTTTTCTACTGACAATATGTACATCTTTGTGACTATAGCGATGATTTATCAGGAAAATGATAAGGAGCCGTAATTAGACCTTCCTGATTAGACGACTGAAAAATGCATCGCGTGAGTGGTCTATCGCATGCCTCGTCTGTGGACGAGATTTCATTGAATGTCGGTATTTCAGATCGTACGATATGAATTCGCATAAGATGATTGGTCTATCCTATACTTCATTTGTGCCACTGGCCTATCGCCATTGGCGTTACTTTCTACGTTACCAATCGAGCGCTGCATTCGAGCTATTATTGTTGACAGTTCTCGGGGAAAGCTTCTTGCAGTTGTGCGAGAAACAAACGCTTTCTTCGTGCAACTAGTCGACTGTTTATTTTCTCTGAAATACACTCGTAGAAATTGAGTAGATAACCCGCGGAGAGTAGCAATTTCCACAGAATTCCGGTGTTAAAGAAGCTTGACGCAGAAAGAAGAAAATGAGGTATTTATCGAAAGAGTTACTTTCTTCGTTCCCGCGTCTATATTTTGCCGTTTCATTCTAATCTTCATCCTCCATGAAATCGTTTTCCACCTGGATAATCTCATAGCAGCCTTTGGCAGATTGCCAGTCGGTCCATTGCTGTAGCATACAGAAGCAACAGCGTTAAACGAACGAGATAGGAACAGGCGGGAATCACAAAACATTGCATTAGCTGTCATATTGGAACCGCCATTTTTCCCACTGACATTATCTCTTCGAAAGTTAGATGCATATTATTAATTATTTTCCAGCTTTTCTGACTGATCGAGTATTTTGAAATACTTTCATGCGTCCCAGCTTATTGACAGTAATGTTCTAGCCCTGTGTTTTACAGCTGTTAAGAGAAGGAAATGTAATTTGATGTGTAAATTGAAAAGAAATTTTGAGTATACGTGGCTGCTGACAAGAAAGATATATACCCTTGCATGACAGTTATAGATGAATATCATTGAACTTGAGATTACTCATTTTTTTCTATTGCCATATCATTTGTAACGAACAAATATGTATTTACTTTATTATATTGTAATATGATATATGTGTATACGTGTCATTGCATATAACAGAAGGTTATATGCTGTTCAATAAAATGGCGTCCATTTCCTTTCACTGCACAGACTCTAGCTGTTATAGCGCATACGTCAATGAATTATAATTAACGTTTTCCTCATTTGATATTTAAATTTTACATGCATGTTTTAACCTTTTAGGTTAATGGTCGATTTCACATCGATATGTTCCTTGTTCAGTATGCCGCAATTAATTTTAATTGCCTCAAAGGCGTCAAATGCTGGAATTAAGTAAAATATTATATGACAACTTGAACGATTAAAAAAATTTACGAAATGGTTTGTTGCAGCGGTCGATCACAAATGACGGCGATGAATGGGAAGAGACCACCCTCTATCCCATCGCGATACCAATCTGAAATTATAGCTCAACATTTTGATTTAATTAAGTATATTTATGATTGTAAGCACCACGTTTTATTCACTTTCAAATTGCTCCAAATTTATTGTGGTTAATTCAAAAACTTCTTATGGTTATCGTTACAGCATGGAATAGTGTATCCAAGGAATTTGATATGTGTAATCAGCCACACAGTAATTCTTCTAATTATAGAAATGGAGCATCCGTTACATATTACCAGGAACGAGAACCTAATCCACAACTTAAAGGTGAATATTGTTGTTTATTTTTACGTCTGAAACCATATGTTTATAGTAATTGTGATTGATGTTGGAATTGTAGATTTCGAACCTTTCAACCTTGAAGCTTGGTGGGGACAACGAGTTGTTCAAAGTATCACTAGAAGTTCAAATTCCTAGTGCCAGGCTCATCGTATTGATTACAATCGAACATTCTCAAATAGGCATAAGAAACAGAAAAGATAAATTCAGAGCTGCCGGAGAAAAACTTTTTCCATTTCTAGAAACAATTAATTGTATACTCGAATACAAATAATGAGAGGAGGATAGGTATAGGTATAAATAAGTATCTAGCAATCAATTTTGAATCTTTTGATAACAAAGTAGAGTATTAGCGAATAATCAAAGAAGAATATTGAAAGGGAAGAGATAGGGAAAGAGCAGGGTTATGAAATGGCATTCCTCTGACGTTTTATCATATTTTAATATAATATTGCCTCTTCCTGGATATTTTTACTCGTCGCGTTTTTTAAAAGTATGTTACTGGTATAATTGGACATAAGCCTGTTTCTGATATTATCTTTCTACAATTTGAGAATCGATGCATAAATATTAAGAAATATAGTGCATGTCGAAGCTATTTATTTTATTTGCCAAAAAGCAAACGTAATTGTAAGAAATAGTTTGTTACAAATGAAATTTTCGTTGTTACTTAAGGATAAACCTAGTATAATTATTGATCTTTTTATCTGTTTTGTAATTAAAACTTGAACACGGAATGATAAACGGAGAAATTCTGAAAAAATTCCATCTATTTCGAATTAAAGGAATCATACGAGAGACGAGCTGAGCTTTTAAAGTTTATGCATACATGTATTTTTCCAGAGATTGCATTTCAGATTTTTAATAAATTTTTCCATTTATACGTATATAACGAAATCGCACTTCAATGTAAAAGCATAAATATGTTCTGAGATTATCTAAAAGAAAGTTTATTCACGTACAAGAGTGTAGTGAAACGCACCTATATCTTTGACAACAAACGAACAACCTTTAACTTTTACTCAAATAGTGTGATATACATATAAATATATTACAATTTTAAATACAATTAAATATTAAATATTAGTTATGTACATTTATTATATATGTATGTATGTAATGTACAACCATGCGTGTATAACTCTTCTATAAGATCCATCTCATAACGTTTTTTAATGATAAACAACAATAACGACTAACGTTTTTTGTAAACACGTGACATCTTTACCAATTGCTACTAGCGGTATTTTTTTATGTACAATTCAATACCATGAGTATTACTACGGTTATGATAAACCTAGTTCGATACTGTTACGTGTTACGAGCATTGTTGTAATATTAGGAATTCGTGCACCTCGAAAAACAATAGGCATTGTTGTGCATAAGCGTTATTGAGTTAGTATCTTGATATAATCAAATATTTCACTATTATCACAGTATCGTGAGTCTTTACCGATCATGGTTTGAGCTTGATTTATTGCGTTAGATTTTAATATCTTGACCGTTCGTTCCAGGTTCCAGAGATTTCTCTCTATCGCACGTTTTTCACTATTGAGCATCTATATTTGATTAAATAAAGTCTACATTTTGTACCAATTATAATGAAAAAATCATTGTACTTTTCTCGATTGTATTGTATGAAATATAAGAAATATATAAATTAACCAAGCTTTAACATTATTTCAAATAATTGTCAAACTTCTGGATGCATGATACAATCACTAAACTTATAAATTTGTAACTTTTTCAAACTTTGAAATTTACAAATTTCTAAATAAAGTTATATAGGAATCTTTAATTTTATAAAACGAAACAACTTAAAATTTTCAAATTATTTTTTCAGGGCTATATAATGAAATTGTAATATAAAGTATGACTTGTAAATATAAAAATTTGTATTATGTTAAAGAGTTGCATATATAAGTTTAAATCAATTATTTTTTAATATTGTAATATCATAGAATATATCGTATTATAAAATGTGTAGCATTTATACGATTTTCTTTCAATCACTGGAGTTAATAAAATCGCGAAGAGAAGAGCATAAAGCAAAAATCTAGAATTGTGTGCACTCACCGTGACGCCAACGTTCAAACGCGAAAACGAATTTATTCCGGTCATTGCAGTTTGTGTAAAGTTATTGATGGTTTTCACTTTAATTGTTTGCGTGCTGCAGGGTATTCCAGTCTGTTTGATGTTCACAGACGCGTATATGTTTTTAAATAATATTAACATCCTGTCTAACAATGCCTTTTCGTATTCATTTTCGTCATCCACGAATTCTATTTTAATTGGCATATCAATATTGTTCGAAGAAATTGGATATTTTATTTTCATTTCGCGATCGTTTGATAATCTCAATATATACTCTTCGAAAAGCGCGCCATTTGAATGCGATTCAATGCAAAGCATTTTCCCGCGCTTATCGATCGCGCTGCTGTCGATATCGAACTCCCGCTTTCGATTATCGTTTTCAAGCGCGGTAGACAGTTTGTACGTTTCTACATCGCTCTCCGAGTTACACTTATAATTAGTGCTTTTAATTAACGAATTTGTGTGTGTTTTTGCATTCGAAGCATTGTCTGCGTCCAACGTCGACTGATTTGGGGAGTTCTCCGTATAATTCTGCGAATTTACTTCATTTTCACGAGATGCAACTTCATCGCACCGTTCGGTAAGTCCTTTGCTAACTTCGTTACGAGTTTCTTGCAATATCTGAAACTTTTTAACGAGTTTGATGAGAATTTTCTACTTAAGTTCAAGATTGATGTGAAAATAATTATAATAGTAATGATTTATTGTCATGAAGTATGAAATGTGTCTTTTTGTTCGTTAGTCTGGAATTTATGGCGGGTTCTATTTTCATGGAAAAATACGTTGTTGTATAATTATTTGAGAGATTCTTTTATTATGCGATGAAAGGTATTATTCATAGTGACTTTTATGTAGAATTATGGTCGTAAATTGTTAGAAAAGTTTTTCACGCTCTTGCTAAAGTATCGACTATTCCTTCATTCTGTTTTCTGAGATTAAAAACAAAATGGCGGACATCAGTCAGGCACAAAATTGATTTACATTGATCGAGAAAATGTGATTTTTTTGAACAATTTATTAAGCTCCTTTATTTTATATTGTTATACTATAAATTTTATTGTATAAAATAGCTTTATATTTATTAATTTTATATTATAATAAATTATAGAATAGTATAATAAATCGTTCCAGAATATAATTTTTGTAAACTGTATCCACAAATGTAATTTTTAATAAGCATAAAATTTGAATTATTTTTAACAACAGATATAGCATTCTATTTGTTTAATTTTAAGCTTTTGATCGATTTACATTTTCGTCTCCAATGTTCATAACATGTTTCATAATTTTGAATATTTCAAGGGAATTATTTTATAGAAGAGAGGGGAAGTTCCACAGAAATCAGATAATTATCCTGAAAATAATCATAGTCTCTTTTTATCGCTAAAGTAATTAATCTTTCACTTTTATACACGTACAAATATAATTTATTCAAAAGGTTCTGCGTCAAAGGGATTGAAGTTAACGTTTTGTTAAATTTATTCACTGCGATATGAAATAATTCTTTCAATACCTCATTGTTAAACTAAAAAGTACATTCGCCTCGTTTAATTAAACTCATTCTGATAATGAACATCGTGGCTTAATGAAGCACACGATATCGAACGTTAAATTACGTGTACGCAATAAAAGAGTACAATTAGTTAAAGTATTTATGAAAGTATAAAAAAATTGTGTTGAGAGGACTTTGTGATAAAGGATATACTAAAATGATATTTTAATGAATCAAAACGAAAATTTATGCCTGAAAAAAGATCTCAAATGGAAAAGAAGCGAAACGGGGGTGAATTTATCTACAGGGTGACTCACCCCATTTTACCATCTAGATTTGCGTCATTAATATTACTCATAGCAAAAAATGTTTTAGATGAAGTTGAATGCAATATTTTTTATTGCATCAGCTGATACTCTTTCATATTCTTTACAAAAAAGTATTAATCTATTTATGTGAAAAAATCATTAGTTTTATACCCTGTATACTTAATATCAATTTTATACTTGTTCAATATTACATTTATTTCCAAACATACAAAATCTATTCTAAATACATGCCCTGCACAAATACACAAATTGTAAAAAAATATTTTATACATATTAATATATCACATATATCACATGGACAAATAATTACAAGAACTCATCAATACTTCCGAAATATCTTTTCTCTTTCCGATCACTATCAGCAAACCCTTTTGATCAATCATGCTCCCCAAGAGAACAAAAATAATAAAAAACGTGATGTCGGTTCGTAAAGACCCCTGTGTCTACAGTAGTTACAAACGTCTACCTCTGTCACGGTTTCCCTTTGAACCAAGAATCAAAGATTCATACTTTCCTTTTGAGGCTTTTCACCAGTTCCCTCAGAACTGAATTCTGCTCCCTTAATAAAACCAGCTCCGGTTCATCCTTTCTATCCTTAGTCCAAACGAGATGCCTCAAATTCTTCATGCTCTCCTCGTATAAGTTTTCTCGTTCGGTCAAGTTCTTCAGCGCTGTTTCGACCGGATGTGTTTGACTCATACAAACGGATCTTGAAACGGTGAATAACACTCACCTTCGGCCACGAGCTGACAGACGGAACTCACATCCACGTCGAAACATTTGAAAGTTTCGAGCAGGTTCGCAAGTTCCAAACTTCGCTTTTCGTATTCTTGTCGAGAGGATTCGTACGTTCGTATATCCTCCTCTAATCGTGTTTGCTGTTAACAAAAAAGGTTTGTTCCTCAAACTTAGATTTTTGCTGCATTGTTCGGACACCATGGAATTTTACGCTTTTCTTTTGTAATAATTTTTTCTATTTATAGTTATAATTATTTCGTCAGGACGAGGTCAACATTTGTCTTTACACAAATTTTAAAGAAATGTGTTATATACTATTTATTTCTATTATTCTTATTCTACAATTCAACAACCAAAAATAGTATAATTTTTCAGCTATGAAATAGTTTAAAAAATAAGTATTTTCAAGCTTGAAACTTTCAAAGGAACGTAAAAATTTAAATACGTATAAAAAAATGCATGTAAAATGAAACGGAGGTGCTGGTCTTTTGTGAGTTGCTAAAAGTTTAATAAAAAAAATACGGTTTAAGGAGTTAAAGACAGTACTCGGAAATTTTTCTCCGTTAGCCACCCGAGTCGTTTGAAATTCGGAGTTTTCACGGATACTGCATATTCAAAAGGGCCGCAAAAAGAGGTGACAAGTTCGATTTCGCGTATAAAAAAGGCGATGTTTCAAAGAGCACACGTTCTCCAACGTCGAGCCGTCTGTAAAAAGGCTGGCTACAACGGCAGAATGCATATCAATTAAAATAGTACTTTGATGTCGGTTTACGATGCATGTAGCCCCGCTATTGCGTCCTAAACTTTTTGAACTACTGTCCATCCTACCAAGGAAAATTCGAACATCCTTTGTTATTTCACATTTCCGAGGCAGCTCGTTACGTAATTGTAGCCTTTCATTTCGTAACTTAAAAGTTGTACGTAGAAAGAAATTCTTTATATTCTCTCAAAAATAATAATGCCACGAATAAACTGAAATTTCATTCGAATAATGAATCTGACGCTTTCATGTTGAAAAACCAGTTTCGTTTTTTGTTTCCTTACTGAAAATTCTGGAATTGTGTCGTATTAACTCGTTCAGAACCAAAAAATAATGATCTTTATATGTAACATTTTTTACACTTCAGAAAATTGTGTATGACGGAAGCGAGAAATTACTGTAACAAAAACGTTGAATGATTATGGTTTAACAATAATAAAATATTGTATATGTATGCAAAGATGTGTATATAGGGCTTTGCAAACAATTCAGTTACATGTCTTGATATTTTCAAGGTTTATTATGAGAGGCGATATATCGCGCGACAATACTGTGCATGCTAATTTCATGTGTAACGATTTAACATGTGGCAATATAACGCGTAGAGATTTAACGAGTAGCAATTTAACGTATAGATACTTAATACATAGTAATCTTGCGCATTGCAATTTAATGCGTGGAAATATAACACGTGGCGATATAATGCATGGCGATATAATGCGTGGCAATATAATACGTGGCGATATAACACGTGGCAATGGAACACGTGACAATGTAACGCGTGGTAATATAACGCGTGGCAATGCAACGCGTGGCAATGCAACGCGTGGCAATATAACGCGTGGCAATGCAACGCGTGGCAATATAATGCGTGACAGTGTAACGCGTGGCAATGCAACGCATGACAATATAACGCGTGGCAATGCAACACGTGGCAATATAACGCGTGGCAATGTAACGCGTAACAATATAACACTTGGCAATATAACGCATGGCGATATAACGCGTGGCATTGCAACGCGTGGCAATATAACACGTGACAATATGACGCGTGGCGATATAACGCGTGGCGATATAACGCATGGCAATGCAACGCGTGGCAATATAACACGTGACAATATAACGCGTGGCAATGCAATGCATGGCAATATAACACGTGACAATATGACGCGTGGCGATATACCGCGTGGAACATTTGTACTTTCTTTAGTTTGCGATATAATACATGGCGATATAACGCGTGGCAACATAACATGTGGCGATATAACGCGATGCAATGTAACGCGTAGTGTTATAACGTGTAGCAATCTAACGCGTTGTAATTTTACACGTGGCGATATAACGCGAGGCAACAAAATACATAGTAATCTAACGCGTGGTAATTTATCGCGTGGCGATCTATCGCGTATCAATCTACGGCATAGTGATTGCACGCGTTGTAATTTAACGCGTAGCAATTATACGTGTAGCAGCTTAACGTGTTGCAATCTAACGAGCGGCGATGTAACGCATTACTGTGTGGTATGTAGCAATTTAACGTGCAGTAATTTAACTCAAGCTCCTGAAACACAACGTTCGTTACGTCGATACAGGTAAACGGAAGTAATAAAAAATTATGAAACGAATTTCTTTTCACGACCGCAGCATAAAGAAAAAAAATTACGGAACAAAAACTTTTCTCCCGGAGAAAAGGTTGCAAATGAAACTTTGTATCAACGTAACGTTGGTTCGTAATGGTTTATACGATTGTTTTCTAGCAGTTCGCGTCTGTTCAACGTGTTTCCATATTAAATTTGTAGCAATTGAGATATACACTTTAATACGCTTTTTTACAATGTACCTTCTCTTTGCTTCCATTGTATAACTCGACCAGTTCTTGAAACTGTTTCTCCGCTGTTTCTTCAGTAGTCTTCAAAATATTCTCGTATTCTCGTTTAGCCACAGCCACCGCGTTGTTGCATCCAATTTTGTTGCTGGAAGTAAACCGTACAATCCACCAGAAGTTTTCTTACTATATAGCGAAAGATAAAATTCTTCATTTAATAGCTGTAATAACTTCAATGATATTGCTGAGATTTTTAATATAGACTTAGGATATTCGATATAAGTAATCCCGAGGAAATTGCTGGTACAATAAAGACTTACTCTAATTCTTTTAGTACATAATTTTTTTATTGCAAATACAAAATTTTAGGTGAACGAATACACCAATAATTTTTGAAGTACTAGTTTTCTCTTCTTCAAACAGCAATTTTATCCTTCAAAAAATATGACTGAATACTTAAATTTTTTTTTAAATTGTTATGTAAAATAATTTTGATATTCTTTCTTTCCTAATAAATAATTTAATTATTTTGATTTTATGGTAAATAAAAAGCGAAAACTTGTAATATTTGATATAGTTTATCTCATAGCATTGAATGAATATAATTTGCTATAATTTTGAAGGTGTTACTCATAAGTAGTTTTAGAGTATGCCTTTTCGAAGTACGAGTGCAATAAAGGAAACATATTGATATTCCAAAAGATTACACCGTGAAAATTCAATCACATGTAAATTGCCCGATACGGTTTAACGGACTTCAAGATATCCGATAGATTTATTCAATCGGGTCGTATTGAAATATCTTATTTTCCGCGTGGCAGAAATATCTACCTCTTCTTCCTTCATATAATACAATCTTGGAAATTGCTTTTCACGTTTCAAAATCCGACAGCGAAAAAATTAAATTAGCTTAAGAGCTTACATGTCAGTTGAAGCTTTTTAACATTTTTGCTGTGGATAATTGCTGAACTTCAAAATGGAACTTCATAACGTGATTTTGAATTTTTATATTCTTAAACTGCATAATTTGTTTCGTTCTATTTTTGATAATATACCTTGTCCAGGGTTATTTATTATTTTAAGACAAAAATGTAAACGAGAGATTTTTGTAATTTTTATGAATTCTTTTTTCGAGAGAATATACAAATTTACAAGTAATATAAACTTCATGTTTTTGTGTATTTATAAATTTATAAATTAGATAAATTATAATTTCATGTGCTCTTGCAGATTTATAAAATAAATGGTAATTTCATACACATATGTAAATTTGCATATATACATATGTATACATATACATGTATGGACTTAGAGAACAGAATAAATTATGATATCATATGCATTTATAGATTGATAAAATAAATGGTAATTTCATACACATATGTAAATTTGCATGTTACATATGTACACATATACATGTATGGACTTAGAGAACAGAATAAATTATAATTTCATATGCGTTTATAGATATATAAATAAAATAAATTATAATCTCAAATGCATTTACAGATTGATAAAACAAATGATAATTTTACACATATATTTTGCAAATAAAATCAATTGTATTCACATATGCATTTATAAATTTGTAACATAGTATTGTTTGAATGTATGTTTGCATGTATGAATTTTAAAATAAAAACATTCTTATACATATTCCTGAATTTATAAATAAAATTGTTAAACAAATGCATTTATAAATCAAATGAATTACATATTTACATGTATTTATAAATTCATAAATAGAACAAAGATCTGAGGGCGGTAAAGTAAATCTTGACAATAGTACCAAGAGATGTATTGAAATATAGTAATCGTATTGTACACGTAATGTACACGTATTGATTCGAAAAGTATTACTGGTTGTTGACGATCACGTAACTTCGTCAAAACTTTCTATCTATTGCGTGCACACATCGGCCACGTTTTCTCAATAAGGAATGAAAGTGCATTATAAAGTTGATAAACAGCAGCGATACTCGAGAAATACTGTAGAGTGCGGCGATAATTTCAGAGTAGGAATCCGGCGTTAAGGAACTTCGACTCTTTCACGGAATATCAATCTTCCGAAACTTTTTGATATCAATATTTTAACAAGTCACGAACATCGATAAAACTGAGGTGCTCAGAAAACTTGTTAAACGAACTAACGAGTGATTCAGTACATTTTTCACTTGGGACAAGTTCAAATTATTTAAATTAATTTGTGTAATTGGATTAGGTTCAAGTCAAATTCAAGCTGCATTATAATTGCATTATAACATATATAGTATTAGTTGTAGTGATACAATTCTATATAGTGTAACGTAAGTTGCATTTTTGATGTGTAAACAGAATTTTTAAATAGTAACAATATGCTGTTTCATAATAAAATATTAAAAATAATTAATATAGCAATATTGTTACGTTATATTGTATTATAATATAATATCATTATACATACATATATTAATATAAAATAATAATATATTATATAACATATGTATGTCATTATTATTTTTATTATTATTCATAATAATTATTGTTTAATGTAATTTTGCAATGTTAATCACTCTGATATATGATCTATGATATACGTATGACATACGATATGTGGTATACAACATATGATATATGGTATATGATACACAACATATGACATATGGTGTATGATATACGATATATGATATGCTTTACACGATCTCCAATATATGATATATGATATGCTTTACACGATCTACAATATATGATATATGATATGCTTTATACGATCTACAATATATGATATATGATATGCTTTACATGATCTACAACATATGATATATGGTGTATGATATACGATATATGATATGCTTTACACGATCTACAACATATGATATATGATACGCTTTACACGATCTACAACATATGATATACGATATATGATGCACGATATATGTATAGTACACGATATATGATGTCCGACATATGATGTACGATATACATGCCACATACGAAACACGATTCTTAAATATTATTTATAATACTTAATATTAACATTATAATATTGGTACATTAGTTCTAAATTAATTAATAGAAATTATATGATAACATGGTATAATACATACATGAATTCTATATAATATTAAAATACAGTGGCCCGATTTTGTTCTTTAAAATTAATAACTAGTAAATGTGTTTCTAATTTATCAATTTCTTAATGAGACAAAATCCAACAGGGAAAAAAGGGCTAAAAAATGTGGTATATTGATTACGTGAGAAAATATTCAGGAGAGTGATTGAAATGAATTTTACAGTTTAAAGCCATCGATCTACCGGTTTACAGTTTACGCAGTGGTTAAATTGCTTCATTCTGAATTCCGTTTAACATAATCTATTCCTTCGGACACTTGCTCGCTCGGAACAGCGTCAAGTTTTACTAATTTACGCGTATTTGACGGAATTCCGTTTGAAATATTAGTTCATGTCTCGCGAAGATTATTTATCACATTATTCCATACTGCATTCTAGTGTAGCAGGATGCTTTGCTACCATTTCACCATATGCATGTATATTATAGCATTACAGGATTCTATGAATATTAGATCAGAGACTACGAATTAGGGGAAATTTCATTCTTATCAATCTAGTAACATTAGTATCAGTTTGAGAAATGTACAAATATCTACAGTAAAATAAAATTTATAAGATTAGCATGCAAATTGATCTCATTGAATCTGATTTAAACTTAAATGGTCATTCACATAAATAATATATGAATATATTATTTAAATTAAATTATTTTTATGTGATCTAACTGAAAGAAATCATACGTTATACATAATTTAGTATAGAGTGGTATTAACGTAGAATAACATACAGTAATAAACTAATACAATAGATGTTGTTTCAATTATCAAAATTATTAAGGAAAACCTTCCTACACATTTTTCTTGTACGAAATTGAAAGAGAATGGAATTAATGAAAAAGACGAAATTAATTCACATTCATGTGTGGTTTACATACAGGGTATAACTTAATAGTGAGTAGTGTTACAGGTAACACTTTGTATTCATATGTGCACACACCTGTAGATTCACTTAATTCTGTCAAAATTTTAATACAACCTCATTACTTTAACGAGTTCATTAACTTGTTAAAGCTCATAAAACATATCCACTCATAAGATAAATAAAAATAAAATATAATATTAATAAATTGATCCTTCAAATCACCTCCCTTATTCTTCGTGTCTCCCCACATCTTTCTATCAAAATTAAAAATCGTCTAAAAAACATCATAATCCCATACGTCGAACTAAAACTACTCCAAAGAAAAAAATCCACCGAGAGATCGTAAAAAGAGCGCAAACTTTGTGGAAGACATCCAACGTAGCTGCAAAAGTTAAAAATAGAAGAGCTCCATCGGGATATCGTTTCTCAGGGAATTACCACGACGAAGATTAATTTGATCCGTGAAAATATAACACGTAGAAACTTTTATAAATATAGTTTCATTAGGTTCGGAAGAGAACACGTAACTTCCTAAAGTAACACGTACAAGACGCGTTCCAGGGAACTCCGGTCTCAATTTACGGTATCTTTGTCTCAATTTCTCAACTGTTCGTGAGCGCGATGTTTCAACTTAATCGGTACGAAGATATTTGTCAGTGTTCCTTACAAGTTTGTCGTTTCCCTTTCGTCAAACAAGCCTGTCGTACAGCCTCCATGCTGACGCAAACACAATCCCGCTTCGAAGCTAATATGCGATGCAAATTTCTCCGACAACCGAACACAAACTGTATCTATATTTGCTAACCTTAACTGCGAGATGCTCGAGGGTTATGACCGCAATGTGCTTTCTTCATACTTGTTTAACTATTATTTTTCAATATTTATGGGGTGTTAGAAACTTAGGATTTTTTAAGTTTTGGAATTTATGGTATTTATAGAATTTTTTGAAGTTATGAGATTTTTGGAATTTTCCTAATTTAGGAAATTTAGGAATTTAGAGAAATGGAAGTTTGAAATTAAATTTTGAAATTAACAATTTGAAATTAGGGAGTTTAGGAATTTGGAGATTTGGACGATTGAATTGCTGAATTCTTGGAACTTTGGAACTTTGAAAATTTCGGAATTTAGAAGTTAAACAAGTGATAATATAGAAGTTTTGAACTATAGGAAATACTA